AATAATGTTTTAAAAATGAAAACTAATTTGCATATTATTTGAGGTTCTCAAAAAGAGAGGGAGAGAGAAAAACTTTAGTTAGATCTTAAATTAATACAAACTATTGATTTTTGTAGGATTCAATTACTGGTACATCTGTTTATTATGATCTTGTAGCACATATACCGAAGGTATGTTTTTATTGATTTGCTTTAAACCGTTCAGAAAGAGATTTATTTATGTGTGGCCATATCTACACAGCAATTGGTGACACCATCGGACAAGTTAATTATGCTATACCTTCTTCGCAATAATTCACCTAAATTACTGTTGGAATAAGTGCTTAATTGATAAAAAGTTTTTTTTTTTTATTTCATGCAATTAATTTATGGAAGTTGAATTCATGGAAGTTAGGAAAGTGATAGATATCCGTTTGCAGTCATCACTAGATGTTGAGGATCGAACATCTCTTGCCCGGATGGCAGCACACCAATCTGTTAATAACGATGATGATTTATCAGCAGATACTGATAACAGGTGAATTTAATAGATGAGGAAGATTAAGAAATTTAATTAAATGCAGGTAGAATGGCTTAACTACATTTATTTGATCTATTAATAACCAAAGTAAGTCAACAGTTAATCTTACTGAATTATGTAAAGTTAATCGATGATTACTTAAATACTTCCAACAGAATCAATCGTAGATTGTACGTAAATTCCATACGTGGAATGTGATATTGATTAAGAGTGATGGGGAATTTTTTTCGGAACTTTCAAACAAATCTAAAATATAATGTCTTGCTTTTCTCTATCAGCTGTTATCGAAAATATTTATGTTGTAAATTTCAGAGGTCACAGAGAGACTTATATTGAGGCATACACGAAAAGCATTCAGGTAGTGGAAAGTATGTTGAAACTTGATAGACTTCGCCAAGAAGTTGCTATCAATAATATGCTTAGCAGGTTCTCGTCTTTTTTTATATGATTAGATGAAGTTAACATTCTCAATGATCGTATGATCATTGAGAATGCTAAGTGCAGAAGGGTGATGAAGATTATGAAGCAATGATTCCATTTATTTCTTATTTTAAGTGCTTTAATAATAAGTTACATTTGTCAGAATATATTTATATGAAGTGAGACAATTTTTTTGGAAGTTTATAAACTCAAAAGTAGAATTTTTACGATTTGAAAATAGAGATGTATTTGTGGCAGAGTTATATGTGATTTCTGAATTTTAGACAAGAACGTCTGAATCGAATGAATTATTTCGCTAATTCATTAACAAATTATCGAATGAAAAGAACAGCAAGTTTGCCTAATACTACTGCAAAGACGGTAAGTGATTTTATATGTAATACGAAAAGTTTGGAATAAAAGTACAATTTTTGCATTTACTGTATAAAAATGTAATTAAGATTTTTATCTAGCTGTCATGTTTATTACTTGTTTTTTTAATGGGGTATAAAAAGTATAGAAATTTAAAATATTCATTGATTCAGGCTTTAAAATAAATTTCGATAGCAATAATGAATGTAATCTTTCCTTTTGTTGTTTTTCTTGTTTTAAAACTTCTAAAATTAATTGTATTCTATTATTTCTACATTTTAAATTAGAAAAAAAAAGTTAAATAACAGAATCTCTTATGAAACAAATAAACATGTCAATTTGTATCACGTATCTAACATTAAAAATAGATTTCCTAGCAAGCATTCTTTTTTAATAATGTTAAAAAATAGGGAGATGTTATAAATAACATTTTGTGTAATTTTGAGTTTTTTTTTTTAAATAAATATTTTGTAATATAATTTTGAAAATTAAGCATCTTCCCACGATAGTTTATTATTTATCTTGATTTATTTCTTTTTTAATTGATTATTTTTCGCATATAGCCATCATTGTCGACAAGTGGTAACAGCGTGATTGGAAATGTAATACAGCATCAGCAATATCATGTATCCGATACAGGTACAGGAATGAGTGAAAGCCAGAATTCAACGGATTTATCCATTTCATCTTCATCTTCTTCTATGGGTGAGTTATCATTGTTAAGTAGTTGAATTGTATATCTCTCACTTTATGATAATCAAACTCTGGACTTAAGAGAATTAAAGATCGTTGTGAAATGCAAATAGATGATTGTCATGTTAGCATCGTGTTTGGAATACAGTGGACGTCGTATTCTTCAAAATTTCGTGGTTCTCCTATGTTAACTAAATAAAAAAAGAGAAAGAGGAGATTTCTGTCCACTAGATTACTACTCTTATTCTCTTACTGCAGTATATCTCATAGATCAGATATCAGTTTAGCATCCAATATCAAAACTACATAATGATCCAGGTATCATTCATTACCTGATGATATGTACGGTAGCAAGAAAGATGGATTTATCTTATTAACCAGTGCTATCATAATTTATCACTATTAGATTGATCCACTAGCATATAATCAATGATTGGGCTGATTGATTAGTTTGGTTGATCAGCTGTTACTAGCTTTTAATTTAGTTGAAATTTTTTTTTAATTTTTGATTTTTATCAAATTAAAAAAGTTTTTTTTAATTTGATGAAGATTAATATATATGTATTTTTTTTTGAAAAAATGTTTTATTCGTTGTTGAAAGATTAGAAATTAAATAAATGAATCGCATTGAAAAAGAGACATTTAGTTCTTTTTCAATGCGATTCATTTATTTATACTAATCTTTTCAGTACTAATTCATTTTTTTTTTGTTTTAGAATGTTTAATTTATTTCAGAGTAATAGCAGCATTTATTTCTAAGAAATGCTAAAATGGCTCTATCTAACTTTTGACCGATCTTCCGCCTTAAATCTCGTGAGAGTGTAACATATGGTTTTTTTTTTTCTAATATATTTATTTCTCATTTAATGCACGAAAAGTTTTCTGTATTTTTTCTGGGAAAAAAACTTTTATTTATTTTAGAAATATTTTCTGATCCAGCTACACCTCCATTAATGAGTACAAATGACCTTTAACCCTGGAAAACGTTTTATACGTTGCCATTTTTTGTTTTTTTCTTTGTGATTGAATATGTAGTTGTTTGTGATTTCTGCTTTTTTGGAAAAGGATTTGTTTCATTGATACTAATGCTATTCTTTTAATTTTTACCGCAGTTAAATACAGGAATGTTTTTTAAACGAAATTTAACGAAGGCATAAATGTTTTTACTACATATAAATAAGCAAATACCTTCCAAATATCGTTTTTTCTTGACAAATGTGTTACATTTAGTATCACAGATTTTCCTCCATCTATTTGAATATTCCGACTAATACTAGCTTTAGCAGCAGTTCACTATTTCGATTTACCATTTCGTAATTTAGTTATTCCGATTTAGTGATCAAATGATGTGATTGATTGATCCAGACTGATAAATTTTACCTACTAAATTCAATTTTCAGCTCGTCCAACATCTCTTAATCTGAAATCGCTATGTACTGGCAAACGTATGTAGTACTTGTTGTGAAATTGTTTGTTCGTAACTTTATCTTTCATATTAAGATGCCATTGCTAATTAGAATTCTTGCTAAATGGATAGAGATAGAGAGAGAGAGAGAGAGAGAGAGAGAGACGATGAAGAAGAGAGAGTAATATTAGGATACGTATGGACAGAAAAAAAATTATTTTTATCAATTCATGGAGATATTTATCAATATTTTTGAAACACATCAAATAATATGAAACATGCAACATATCCTATCATCAATAATAAATTAATAGCAGCAGTGGCTTTATCCAATTATGCATGCTTGTTTTAATTTATATATTAGAATTTTCAATCGTAAATTAATACTATTGCCCATAGTATCGTTTTGCTATTATTATTTTTGCATCCGGCAATTAGAATAGCAATTGCTATATAAATAAAACTGTTACTCATCCCATCTTATGTGGTAAACAAAAAAAGGAATGAAATTGGAAACTGATTGTGTTTCTTTTTACTGGATAAAAATATCGTTTGTTGTTACAGTTTCAAAAAAAAAAACAAAACAATTATTAATTAGCAGTTGCTTGTTTCAAATCTTATGCATGATATACATTAAAATCAAATTTAATCTTGTTAAATATTTCTCCACCTGTAATCTTCGTATTTTGTCTAATAATTTCACCTTTAAAAAAATCACCACATACTCATTTGCATGCATTTATGCAACAAATTAATTTTCACTGAACGATTTATCAATTTTTCAAATCTTTTTATCAATATATGTATATACTATTGGCAACCATCGATAATTCAGAAATAAAATAATAAAAAATTAGAAAGATAACCAAGAAATGAAGATTTCCTAAAAAAAAAAAAAAGATGGAATAATTAGGGTTCGATTCGATAGAGACATGCAAGATTGTTCGGTCATCAGTTAGCATCAAATTTGATCGATTCTCACAAATAGCAAAATTTCTCGATCATCACAAATATGGCAATTACTCGAAATCTGTTATGACAAATACCACGATTTCACGAGCACTATCACCACCATCAAAAATACCACAATTGTTCGGTATTTTTTAAAGTTTGATTTGAGTGCTTCATCATATCTTCGCTTTAACAATATTTCCATCTGTTTTTTTTTTTTTTTGTAAAACCCCTTTTGAGATATCGCGGTAGCATACACTGTGATACCTCAACTAATGGCTTCTTCAGCACTCATCTAAACAGGTATTTTCAACTTATAAGAATTGATGTATCGATTGATGCACACTTGCACTATCCTCCAATTAAACTAATTCACACATTTACCCGTATTGGTGAAAGTTATCCGTTGTTGTACATTCTTCCTGTAATTCCCCGCATTTCATTTTGTTGTAAGTATGGTGAAATAAGCATTAAATAAATGAAATATTTATTTTTTGTATTTTTTTTTTATTTTCAGTGACCAGTTCTATCAGTCCAGTTATGGAAACTTCGAAATTGTCGGGAATTGACGAGGAACAACAATGTTTTATGGTATGTATAAAAGTTATTTTACACATCTCTATTATTTCTTATTCTCTGATTCGAGAGAATTTCTTAATGTCATATTTTTCCAAAATTTTAAATTATTTAAAATAACATTTTCTTTGCAATATATCATGATAAACAAGTATATTGCTATTTGCTTCATCTATAATAATTTCGATTATGTTACACTAATACAATTAAAACAATATAACTCTCTTTCTCAAATCATTTTTAATCTGTATATTAATAATTCTATATTATTTAATTATGTCATATAATTTACAGAATATGAGCAAGTCCTCAACAGTACCTGAAACAATGCACACTTCACTTACGAGCGCTTACGATCTACGAATGGTGAAAATTTAGTCCTCATTAATTGTTGCAAAGTTAATATAAAATGCAAATAGATTTGCATATAGATATTATATTTTGAAGCAAAATTAACAACATAAATTGGTTATTTGTTTGTTCTTCCATATTTTCTAGTAAACGTATGTAATCTTCGACATGATTTTAACGTATGATCGTATTATTTTTTTATTATTTAAACTGGAGAAATTGCTTAATTTGACTTTTTTTTAAATTTGAGCAAGCAGATACGCATAGTTTTCAACGTCATCTGCATGAGATGATCCGTTTACAAGCAACAAACATTGTTGATAACGGAAATACACCGTTGTTATCGGTGTCAGCAATCGGAGAACTACCATCTGCTTCGGTAGATAGTTTACCGAGCATCGATCCTCATTCATTATCCACCTGTGGCATGACTTACTCTTCGACATCCGATAGTGGTTGCATGATCGAAAGTGGTAGTTCATCAGCCACTGTTGACGATGAGCAAACGGTTTCTCTCTTTACAATCATTATTTCATTATTTAATTTTTATTTTTTCTTATTTATATATTTTATATATCTAAGTTTCAGGAGTGATAACAGATACATAGGTAATTTCCAGATTGTGAACTTTGTTAACGAATTACATTTAACCATATTTCAAAAACTATATGTGTATCACGAATAATTCTCTCCTACATATGATTACATATCATTGGGGCGGGGTTATTTAACAATTCAAGTTTTTCTATATGAACAGTGACGTTAAAGTAGTCAGTTATTTGCTAGAATGAAATCAAAGGTTAAATGGTTTTCATTGTATAGGTGCTTAAAAGTATGGATGATATTGGTAGTGCTGGTAACAACAACAGCAACAATAATAACGATAACAGTTACAATAATTCAGTAAATAAAAATTTACTTCAGTATGGAACAAATGGTAAATTTTCTTTTTCTTTTTAAATAAATTGAATCTCTAATTGCTATATTTGATGAGATTATGACTGAAATATTAAAGTGAAACTTTCTCATAAAATATTCCTTTAATTTATACATTGTCATTTCATTTCTAATCTAAAATTATTGCTCTAAATTTATCTCTTTTTTGAAAAAATTATTAATTCAAAGGCAATAGTAAGACATAGCGAGACGTGATGAATTATTCAGAATTATAATTTTTGCATTGCAGTTGATTACGAGCAATAATACTACAAGAGTTTATGCAGTGTTTTGTCAAAATTCGTTCAATAATTGATAATATTTTTCTCACCTAACTTTCTAATTGGAGGATTCGTTAATGATTCCATAATTTTTCAGGTGCACCAATAGATCTCAATATTTCGCAACTTTAGTGTCCTGTTCAAAGTATGCAGTTTTGTTATAACGTTTTATCGCAGTGGATTATAAAAAATATACAGCATCTCTTCTGATTGTTCAAGCTAAACTGATCTCGATTATTCCTTTAATTAATTTCATAATGTTAAAATGATTTTAGTACTTAGCGCAACTTGATTTAATCCAGAAATTTACTGTTACTAATTCCCTAATCTAAAAAAAGACAACGTTTTATTTTATTAGAAGTTTTTCAAGTTAAAATAGCTTAAATTTGTTGAATTCTTTTCATTTCTTTGTTTATTATTTATAAGTGTAATCTTTATCCGTTATGTCAATTGGATTTTAAGCGATGTTTGTTTGAAATCAACCGAAATTATAGAGCATAGAAGATAGCAATTAATTAATGGTAAATTCAGGAACCTTCAATTGCTCTTCATTACATAAAATTTTAAGGATGAGTGTTTGAGATATCTCGTTCAGTTTAATAACTGTTATTAGTAATTTTTCCGACTTGAAATTAATAAATTAACTAGAATTGAATATTTGGATATTATGTCGCAAAATTATTTCCATTAATTTTCATCTTTTGCAGATTTTCATCAAAAAATAACATGATTTTACAAATTCTTCGTTTCGAATTTTTCGTTTTGCATTTCATTTAAAAATTGAAAGCAACCTAATATATTTTAATCTTTGATAAAAGTTCGACGTTAGCATAACAAAATGTGTGTTCCGTATGAAATTTCCATAAGCTTTGTCTTGTATTCCTGTTGATGTCTTATGGTTTCTCAAACATTTTCATGAAAATTTATTTTTCCAAATGATTACTTGAGAAAATATTTTGTCATTTATTGATGGTGCAATGAGATTTTTTTAAAATTATTTCAGTATTTGATATCACTTTGTGTTATGTTGTCCATAGACTTATTTTTTCGAAGATGTAGTATTTTTGACGTATGATAATAACCGTATTTATTATTGTTATATTGTAACAAAGCTATTTTCATTTGAATAACAAAATAATTCAAAAACAAAGAAAGGAAAAATAAAACTTTTTATACGGTTGCTATAAGACAATTGTAATACACAGTGAACTTGAAATAGCTCTTAGATTAAATTAGAATAGTCTGCGAGAAGAAATGTGATGTATTTCCTGGATGAATAAGTGAGCAAATAACTAATTAATTCTCGCAAGCTAAGGTTTTAAATTCCTTTAAAAAATTTTATGCAATTTGAGTGTCATCTTGAAAAAATAATTCTAGAAAAATTAAACAACTTTTCAAGCACTGCATATTTCAACTTTCTCATCAATCTATTTAGTATTTAAAAATAGTTGAAGTATAGCTGTGATCTTAAAAAAGATGTTAAAATATGGAAGGGAAATTATTCAATCAGGAAGCATAAGTAAAACATAAATCAGACAAATAAGAATGTCGGAAATGAAATGATCAATTCGAATTTGAGTACATTTTAATTAGTTCAATAACAACTCAACGATGACATGATGAAGCAATATCACTTTATCGTAGAAGAATTGTGATGGATTTAATTCGAGATGAGTCTCATTTAGCTTTCTTGTAGTTTCAGATTCACGACAATTGTGGAACAAAATCAAATGAAACAGCCGTTTGACCATTGAAAGTTTGGATGTTATCAAATTGATATCCGGCCACATTATCTTTTATTCGACAGTCCATTGTGAATGGACTCAATTCATTGTTTCCATTCTTTTCTAACGCATTCCGAAATGTCATCTTTGCCATTATCTAAATTTTAAATTCCAAAAAAAAATGAAAAATTATTATTTGTTCTTTTTGCAAATTTTGAAAAGTTTTCGTACTAGTTAATATTCAGATCAGTATTATTCATAATATTTATTAATACTTTCTTTCTCATATCACTTTTCTCTTTTAGTATCACAAACGCAAGTTTTCATTCTTTTAATTAAAATATTCATCAAATAGGAAGTGAAGTTTGTCTGTTGATCATAAAATTATTAAAAATTCATTAAATGTATGAAACGACCTTCTACGTTCCAATCTATTTCATGGTATAATGAAAATTTATATGAAATTTAGAAAAAAATTTTATAATTATTAATGTAATGTAAAAATACCAATGGTGGCAATGTGTAGAGAATATTTCCATCTTTTCCAACAATTTCATTGCCGTTATCATCGGTGATTTTTTGATTCGGTATCAAATTTATTTGAAAGCCACCGTTACGCATTTGTGTTGGCAACGACGGATAATAGCTAATATTAACATAAATGTTTGAAGAATACTGATATTGCTGAAAATTTTAAATGTATCTCAATTATTGAATGATGGATTAAAAGTTTGAGGTGTTGAAAGGATTATGAATTTTGTAGAACCATGCGGTAAATTTTTAAAAAAAACCATAATAAATGGCTGTTAATATTCGAACAGACAATTCAGATTAAGCCAGTTGAGTGACAGTATAGATAATTCAAGTTAAATCAGTTAAGTGATAATATAGACAATTCAATCAACAGATAATTCAAGTTAAGATGGCTGACATTCACATATCATTGACATAATGCGCGATAAAAAGAGATAATTTCACATTTCTGTTATCAAAAATAGATTCTTTCAATGTATGTATTTATCGAAATAAAATGAAATGAAATAAAAACAAAAAATTCAACAAATAACTAACCATGCGACAAAAGAATGGCAAATAATCCACTTCACTTTTCATATTAGGCTTCCAACCCAAACGCTGTAATATAAAAAGGGAAATTAGACATTATCTTTCCTTCCATTATTGAATTATAAATTTAAGTAAAAGTTTCAAATGTTTTCTTCAGAGTTATTCTGGAAGAATCAAAATTTAGAAATATTTGCATGTGTGCTTTTTAGCGTTAGTAAATTTTCTAAAATTTGACAGATTACAAAATAAAAAAAGCTAAAAAAATAATTGTTAGACAGGATAAATTTAAAATAATAAGAAATTAAGGAAGTGTGAAAGGTATTCTTATCATTTAATTGCATCTATCAACGAAAGGTAAGAAAAGTGTTATTAGAGTAAATTGGAAAAATAAAAATGATAAAATGGAAAATTAAAGAGTCAGAATTATGAAAATATCCGAGCAAAACAATTAAAATTTCTGAAAATTTTTTGGAGGAAGAAATATGCAAAATTTTTCAAAATCATCCGAAAATTTTTATTGAAATTAATTTTACCCAAAAAAGGAAGCAATTAACATAATTGTTTCATTAGAACAAATAAATTAGTTATATTATTTCGTTAGAAACTTACTAACGTTGTCAAAAATGAATAACACGCATGGATTGCCGGAATTGTAGCCGTAATTGGTTGTTTTGGAACAATCGGAATGAAATTGTTGTTGAATGTCAAATGCGCACCAACGTTTCCCATCGCTTCGTTCTTGCATCGTGCAAATCTTCAAAAATTCTCTCATCATTTCTCGATCTTCAGCATATTCTATAATATAATTAGAAAAGATTAAATTAATTGCAAAACAAACAAACAAATTAAATGACATTAACATCGATTAAATGAATCGATATGATTGTTTGACAGATTGGGTTTTATTATTACATTCAGGATGTTAATAATTGATCACTGAATAAATGATGTATATCCTCAGGGTATATTAGGCATACATTATTACCATCGTAAATTGTTACTTAATTTTAGTAATTTAGATATTTTTTAAACAAATTTACAAAAAAGAAAATTGACTAAAAAATTCTTTTGTTTGTATATGTAAATATGAAAAATCCTTGTAATTTTATTTTCTTAAGTTTAAGAAAAAAAAACTACTAGGTAGCGAATGTTTTTAATAATTAAAAAGGAAATAAATAAAAATGGAAAATTCATAATTATCAGAATTTCTTTTAACAATCAATAAATTGTTTACTTGCAAGATAATCATCTATTTCTTTTGCGTACTCTGCATTTGCTGTTTTATTTCGTACGTTAAAATAGAATATATTAAACGGTCGTTTTCGAATATTCGGTATCATCATAAGGCCTGAAAAATAAATGATTTAGAGAAAAAATATCGTAGCGGTTTACAATGATTTTAATCATTTTAGAAAAAAAAATGTCATTTTACAATCATTTTAACCATCTTACAGAATTACATCTGTGCAATTATTTTAAAATTATTTGTCATAATATAAATCAAATAATATGCAATGATAAATTTTTTAAATCAAAAAGAGTTCTTCACCATGACGTGATTTTTCCTGATATGCGACAACATCAAAAATAACTTTACCGAAACCCGAAAATAATGAAACTAAAAGAATCAACATTATGCAGACCATTGATATGAAAATACCTGAAAATTACAAAAACTTATTTCAAAATTTGCGAGAACTGATAAAGTTGAATTAGCGGTTGTTTATTAATTTAAAAGATGAAAAAAACTTGAATATTTGCTATGCAATACCTATGCACAATCGTTGTTGTCTCTGTGAATATCGTATATCCTGGAAGATATTCTGCCAGGTGATATCATCCATGAAGATGTTATCAATATCATCACTGTGCAGAGTAATTAGAGCTGTATCGTCGATTTGTTCCGCATTGTAAACATTTGCCTGATCAATCATTGCTAATGAATCCGAATTCGATATGCATTCGTATCTGTAAATATTTAGTAAAATTGCGAAAAAAAAAAGAAAAGAATTGTATTTTAAATTTATATTACAATTTTCAAGCAAACAGATCACTATAAATTTGAATAAATTATTCCATTTTTTAAAAATCTAAAAATTTTAAATGAATTTTAAATGAAATTTTTTTTTATTTTTAAAGTTTTGCTGAAATATAACGAAGACACGACGTTTGTAGAAATTTAATCACATTATCAGATCGCTTAATACAACATGTTTTCAAAAAGTGTTTATACCACAGAATGACCATGATTATACGATTATACGTAGCAGATTAATATTTAGAGCTTTCGGAATATTTATTATATGTTAAATAATACATTGTAAAATTTTCCAACCTCATTGTAGCCATTAATGAAGCAATGAATATTGAAATTCGTATTGGAATGTTTCATAAGCATGCTATTTAGAACTGCCACATTTATTTTCTAAATAATAGTTAAAGAATTTAATTGAAATTCCGAGAAATTTATTTATTTTTTAACGGTTCATTTTAAATAATAAATGCGAAAAACAACGATTTAACTTTATAAAACATATCTTCCAGTATACCATCATTTTGATTAAACTATTAACATATGAAAAAGATTAATTAAATGGGATTAATTTAAATCAAAGAGATATAATTAGAAATTTAAGTTCATGTTGTTATCCCAATACTAATAGATTCATTTAGAGATCACTATCACATTGTTTTTCATTTCATTTTCAAAAAATTACTGAATGAAAAAGAAGAAATGAAGCAAGAAAAATTGACAAATGTATTGCTGCGACAGGCCTGAGAGTAAATGAATTCAACGATGTCATCCTACCACAATGGTACTCAGAAGCATGTGAAAACGGAGCTTTCGCAGCAATATTTTTGAAAAACCGGTTCCTACACAAAGGAAGGATCATTGGTAATGTTTGTCAGCCGAAAGACGGTTAAATAAATATTGCATATGAATTTTGTTTTTGTTAAATCTCACTAATAGTCCTGGAATAAATGTGAGGTGAAAGAAGAAACAAAGATAAGTTCTCATTTCTCGAAGTTATTTGAATTGTAATTGATTAATATTAAAATAGGTCTTATATAAGTGCTATAGCGGTGTTAATTATGTTTTGCAGGTAACTGATAGAGAAAAGTATAAATTGATGATAATGTAATTAAACATTGAAGAAGGAAGAATATATGTTTGATAGCGGGAGAAATGAGAAGTAAGAATGATTTTCATTTGAAGATGCCATTGGGAGGAAGAATGAGTTGATATAAATTTACATTCGTTATTCCAATCATCTCTCATTTACCTTTCCCATACTAAAAATTTGATTGTCAAATAGGCCATCTTTACCAGCTATCAATTCAATAATATTAATTGTAAAATTCGATTCCTCAAAAATAATTTAGTTATTTTCTCTAACTTATGTGCAATTTAAAATTAATATTTTTCTAAATCTAGAGTTTTTTATATTTCAGTCAAATTAATATGTATTCGTTTTGTAATGTCACGTGATATATGTAATATGTGAAAGTGAAATAGCGGAAAAGAAATTAAAAAAAAGAACATTAATCGAGACATAAACCAAATACCGATTAATTTAATGACAATATCGTAACATTTCGAAATAGTAACTGATACATACATTGCATTGATTTCATGAAAAAAATCAATAAATCAAAAAATAATCAAATGTGAAAGAAATGCTAAGATAATGAGAATTATTAATCAAACAAAAATTTAAACTAATATTTAAGTGAAATAATTGGGAAAACAAAAAAGAAAGAAATGAAAGGAAACGGGAAAAAAAAACAGTATTGTTATTGAAACAAATGAAATGATTTGATAACGATGCTATCCATGGGTTAATGAACTGTAATCTTACTTACTCAGCAATTTTTCTCTCATTCTTCTTAATAAATTTAGCAATATTATCATTATCGGCAATATTTCAAGATCGATTACATTGGATGATATATCACAAAGGCTATTATCCTATATTTCACTCATCCTTTTTCATGTTTTCTCAATATATTTTATCAGCGATAATCACTGTGACATTAATAAGACAATAATTGATCAAAAATTAAAATTGATTGGAATCAGATAATGAACAAAGAAACTGGAACAATAACAGTATTATTCTATAAATAAAATTTGAATGAATGTATTTCTGATAGTAATTATTGTGATTTTATGATATGAGTAGAGAAATCGTTAATGGAAAAGTTAAAGTTGAAATGATTTTCCAAATGTGTAGAGAGACAAGAAATTACTCTGCGGTATGATAGTAATAACAGATAAACGGGGAATAAGTGAAGGTCATAGTAATCATCCTTTCAATATACTTTGATACTAATAAAATTTCCCTCAATAATACAATTACCTTTTGAAATTATTCAAAGGTTTATTCAAAAATTTTAATAAAAGAAATTAATTTCAATGCTACTACACTTTTTAATACGAAATTGATTTTTTATATTAAAACTGTACGAAAAAAGATGCCGTTTTTTTTTAAAATGTCAAATGTTATTTATGCTAAAACAATGCCTCACTGATTTAAAAGATAAAATTTTGGGATCACACAACTAAACAGATACAGTAATTTGTAAATTATTTTTGTGAATTCTCGAATATTACTACAATTGTAGTTGTCAAAGTAAATTCATCTAATAGATTTGAAGATTGATTAATTTACATCGATCAATTTGGAAATGTTTATTATAAAACAAATCATGATAGTAATGTGTTGATTTTTACAATGCCGATAAAAATTATCACTAATTGGAGAACAAATTATTCTTTCTGTTGCCATTCTTATTTTTGTTTAAAGTTTTAATTTTAATTTGTTCTTAATCGTTCCACTGCCATACTGAAAAATGAACACCGATCGGCACACATCATCTGAAAATGTTTACACCAAATCTCTGCCACATCGCAGTATGCACCCTGCAAACAATTTTTCTTGCCATATCAGCAATTATCATTTGTAATGTGAAACACTTTTATTGCATGATCCATCCATATCATTAACAGTATCGTTATCGATATTTGACAATGATCAATATCAAATACTATGATTGTTACAATAATCGGTTACCATTGTTCAATCGTATAATCTATTACGATATGCAAAAATGGATGCTCATAAAGTAAGTTATTCTTGTGATAATAATAATGATAATGATTGTGATAGTAATAATAGTTTGTGATAATAGCTAAATTAAAGAAATCAACCAACATTTTAAAAAGTTATACTTTAACAGACTCAAAATAGCTTAATTAAGCGTTGAAAGAGCTTTATGGATTTCTATGTCTTATCGCTATCATTTCTGCGTTTTTTGTTTAAATGAATTGAGATAATTAACCTTGAAGATATCATCGGCGGAATGCATAAATGAGCCGAAGTTTATGGAAAGACGTTCGATGAATAGAAGTACAGCGTGGGATATTGGCCAGATAGATTGAGCAAATAATTCAATGAGTGCCGCAATGGAGAGCTCCAAATAACTAATGATCAAATAGCTGGCAATAATGAAACCTGCTATTGTTGCAGGACGCTAAAATTATCGGATCAGGATTAGGGAATATAAATTAAATATTACCGGATTATAGTGCAGATTAGCAATTATGTCAAATTCCGACAATGACAGTTGCGATATTGGAAAAATTTTAATTTACATATCCACTTAAAATGAAACTCTTAAAGTGTAATAATTCAATTTAACTTTTAGATATTTTATTGTTATTTGAACATTATTGCTTAAAATTAGATTGTCATTGAAGAATTATTAAATACGAGTGAAGAAAAATGGTTTGGTCCTCTTCTTGATTGATTATTTTGGAATTTTAAATTTAATTTTTATTTCCAACAATAGGAATAATATATACAGTCAATTATTGGATTTCATTAGCTACAAATCAATATTAAACAAAATTATCACTTATCATTGTTAAAAAGCAAGAAAATATTATTCCTATTGAACCAAGAAAAAACAATTACTAAATTTCCATTCGTACATTTCTCTTGCTAAAATAACACTTCATAAGTTAATCAAAAAAATTGCTTTAAACTTCAAAAGAAAATTAAATAAGAAATAAAAATGTATAAGTGGAAAGGAGAAAGTTAAAATTAATAATGAAAAAAAGAAATTGAACAATGAAATGAAGAATAATTAGATAATTGTAGATTGTTATATGACATTGGCTTATATTTATCCGATTTTTTTATCCTCTATATTTATTTAAAATTATAAAAGCATTCTGTACTAATTGAAAAAAAGTAACAGTTGAAAATTTAAAAAAGGTATGTGATAATGAACGAAATGGCTGTTTGCTGACAACTCTGAGATGTTTGATGGAATGAATACTTACAGGATGATCCTTTAAAAATTGTGCAAATTTGGTTAGAAGAAGTAGGAAATCATCAAGTAATTGATAGAAAGCATGAGAAAATCGATGAACAGACATATCATCACTGTAAGCAAAAATGAAACATAATAAAGTTATAATTTCAAATTTCAAATTTGTCAAAGATTTCAGCAGTAGTACTATATTTTTGTAGTACTACTGCTGAAAATGACTTCTGTATTTTAACTATTCTTCTGATAATCGGAAAATAGCAACTAAATGAAAAAATGTTGGAACATTTTTATGTTACATATGTCCTAAAAGTCACATGTAACATAAATAGATGTTAATGATATATATTTTTTTCATTCATTAAGTCTTTCAATTCCCTAAAATACCAATTAATGATGGAAAAGAATGAAATTTTCAAATAATATGTGCCGTTTCCTAAATGGCAATATTCTTCTTTTCGGTAAATTTTTTTACAATCAATAAATATGAAACAAACTCAAATTCGTTTTGATCAAGTTCACAGATATTCTCGATATCTGGACACATCGGGATATCATCACGTCTTTCGGAGGCTGAACCTTGGATAGCACATTTGCTACTGTAATAAATGAGTGGAAGAAAATGTATGCTATCTTTTGAGTTTTTATTAGCATTCAGACAAATTCCTCTAATGAAATAATTCCGGATTAATTTCTAATACCTAAATATATTCTTCAGGTAAGAACTAATTTATAGATCTGCTGTAATCTATCCTTCATTATACTAATGTCGTTTGTCTTATTTCAGGAACTGACCTTGAAACTGATGAAGGTATATTTCGTCCGTGATGCCTGGAGGTTTTCCGAGATCGTTCCTGTTGTCTGCGTCGTCTACGATGAAGTCGCATGAATCGTGTCGGTATTATAGACGTTTCATGGCTTGTCGACTTTGTTGAATCCTCTTTTCCAGCTCAATTCAAATAGCTCAGTTTTAATATGAGCAGTAAAAGATGTGTGTTTTTCATATCCGACATGGAAACTTTTATTTGTGACACATATGATGTTCTTCTCTGCATGATATAGGGTTTAAAGAACAGTATTAGCTTATTAAATTAATAAATGATTTTGTGGTGGAAGCATGAAGGCTTGAATTACTGTGAAATCTGTGATTCGATTAATCCTGAAGAAGATCAAATCTTCTCCTCATTCGGGTTGAAGTAATTTACGGAATTCTAAATTATAATTGTTCTTTTGCTATATGTTAAGCTGATAAACAATGAGGAACAATATTATTAATAGCATTCAATTCACAATAACATTCTATGTAATTCACATCTGATTCGAGTTAGAAAAGACGAAAGGAAAAAATGCGGACAGACATGAACCTTCAAGCAAGATTATCAGAATTACATTTTTGAACATTTCGTATAGAATGAAAGCTATACCAAAATGCTTCCTTTCCTTACAAGAACAATCAGGAGAAAAAATTGAAAATCATATTAAATAATTTCCATAAATGAATGATTTATTACTAACACAAATGGTCAACTATACAGTGACAAAAAAGAAATTTATCCAGTAAAAATTAAGAGATTAACAGTTGTGATAATAAATATGTCAGTGATCAAATAATGAGTCGAGAAATCCACTCATAGCATAATTTTTGCTTATTTAAAGCGTAATAGGAAAGGATTACTGCTTGTCGTTTGTTGTTGCATTGTATCATCTGATAATTTAGCATTTGATATCGTCGAGTTATCTACAGTATTACTGATTGCCGTCTTTTCGGTTGATCTAATAAAAAAGAGAATTAGGAATCTTTGAAAGAAAAAGAAATATTCATTAATGTTTTACACATTTAATTAGCTTATTTAATCAAATCAAAGTTTCAATTGCTCTTTCCCTGATAATTTTTCCAGCTTATTGGAATTTTGATCATAAATAAAATATGAAATACAATATGATATTCAAAAATTTTATCATTAAATAATAATTGGTCAGCTAATATATGTACGTATCCGTAAATTTTTCACGTAAGTTTACTGAAAATTGAAATAAATTGAAGATAATATGAAATGAACGAACGGAGTTTCATTAGGCATTGGCATGTCAATAATATTTTCGATAGATGGACAGTTCGGGATGTCATCTGCACGATCTTTATGCTTCCTGAAGAAAAATGAAATATCGATTATCCCAAATGTTACTTCAATTCTGTCACTCAATCCACTAAACACGGCACGATGTAATATCGCACTAAAAATAAACAAATAAACTTATGCTTAATTGTAATGGAATAGTAGGAAGGCTTACATTATCCATCGTTGTTTTAAAGTTCTAACTTCTTTGCGCTTAAAACGATCTGATGACATGATTGTTCAATCTAAAATTGTACCGTTTTCTACTAAAAGATTCAAATGTTTAGATTATCAACGATTATCATTTGATCATATACGTAAAGTGATATCACACATTTCCTGTGAAGCATCTTACGGAAAAGCCTTACAAAGATAGTAATCTAATTCTAACATTTGATTCAACCACTAACCTTATCATTGTTACTGCTTGCTTTTCAATAGGCTAAAAAAGTCTAAAGCGAAATGCCTTTCGAGAATTGTACTGAAATATCTGAGAAATACCTCTCATCCTTTGTTATATCACATTCTTTGATCGTTATTTAGCTAATTTAATTATGTTTCAAAGAAAAAATCTAACGCTGGATGGATAATTCCTATAGGAACGGAATTGTTTGAATAATATCGATGCCTTATATTTCTATAGAAAACTTTCACATCCAATTTCTCGCTTCAATGTTATCATAAAGCTTACGGTACAGCAGCCGCTAAGCTTCTAACAATACTGACAAATAAATTTCAACCAAATAATTACATCGTTTAAAATAAATTTGAAATCCGACTGTTTATCAATATTGCAATGATCAACGAGTGATCTCGATTGCATTCTTTCGGTATTCTTGCATGGGGTAGTGATTACATCGACTAAGCAATTGAGAACATTTCATATTCCTATATTGTTAACTGAAATTGTGAGATATAGTTGAGCTTGAAATCAAACATACATTTTTTGAACACTCTTGATTGGAAAGATTTTATAAAATATTCATTTCGAATTTATTTTTGTATTGGCAAACATACATATCGATTCAATCATTTTGATTGTAGTATAACATCAGATGTATTATGTTTTGACGTAAAGCCACGCCACAGCAAAATTTAATAGTACAAAAATGAACCATAAAATATTTTGGATGATACACTAGCATACTTATACGTAAACACATGCGTGAACTTCTAAACATTTCAACGTACATTATGTCCGATGAATACAACTGCAAAACTTTTACTTATAATTATAGCTAAATTGATAAGCTAAAATAAGTATACACTGAATGGATTAATACAGGTCAAATTAAGTGTACATTAGCGTAAACCAAACTCAAAACACTGTTATAAGTGACACATACACGTAAACATATATTCAGTAATTATCACTAATTAATTATTAATTCTCCAACATTTGTACTTACTCTTTATTATACTGTTGTATGTTATAGAAAATCTTTCAATTCCAAATCCTTTCACTTCTTCCGCCATTCCTCATTTTATGCAAATTTTTGTTCGCTTTTTTCTCACATGTCAGCCGGTCACTTCGTTCTCTGCAGAGGCATTATTTGAGTGCGTGGGAAGGAAGGGAGGGTGTCAAATGAGTGTTGCTTTTCTGCTCTCTGTTCCAGACAGGTCATGCATCACGTATTATCAAAAAGGGCATACTGAACGGAGGACACGTAGGATACGTGAAGATATAAGGTGTGCTGTAGGATACAGCTAGGAATATAAGACATAGTAGATGTATCTCTCTTGTAATGTAGCAATTGTTAAGCAGATTCTTATCATTTCTTCTAGCTAATGTAGGAGGCGCACTTGTCTCGTATTATTTTATGACAGTGAAGAAGCGCCCCATTATAGCATAACTTTTGTTTCCTTGAAAAATTTTCAATATTCTCTGTAATTTTAATCAATCACTTAATGATTAAAATTACATAAGTAATAAATGCAAAAATACTCATGCAAAAATGTAGTGGTTAAGAGGTTTTCGTTTTTTTAATCTATTTCTTTTTGAACAATTAAAATCATTTCTGATTTATCATTTTGCATCATTTTTATCATTTTGTATCATTGCATTATTGTGGTCTTGATTACTTTGAAGAAGAAGAATAAGAAGTGAAAGAGGTATGAAAGTTGGAGAAGTAGAAGGATGAAAATGTAAGCAATAATTAATTTAGAGTAATGAAAGTAGGAAAAATAAGTTAACAGTGAAGTGATCTTCTAAGGTAATATCATTTGAATAATCAATAGCTGAAAATCTTTAATCCTTGATCTATTCCATAGGATACAAATATTTGGCTTAATAATTGTAAAACTCTTCTCACATTAATGTAAGTATCATTGCGAACAAAAGTAGGACGAATTTATTGTTTCTTTAAAAATGTGGAACAAAAGTTTTCCATTTTTCAAGATGGGAGCAGATGATGATGATATGCAAAGTTCAATGTCATCAGGTAGCGGTCAAAGCCAAACAGCTACTTCAAAGATTCTCGGTAAACTTTTATAAATAACTAGAAATTCTGTCATGATTATTTTGGTTTTTTTTTCCTTGAAATTCCATTCTAATTTATAATTTATGTATTGCTAAATTATTGTAGCACAATTCATAAATTAGATAGTGTAATTTGTAAATATATTAATATTATATGTATGATTAGTTCATATGTGATAAAGTCTAAAATATTCGTTATACGTTATTTATTAGATTTGTTTTCATTTTTCAATGCGTTGAAAATGTTAAATCGAATATAATATTTGAAAATTTAATGACTTTCCTATCGAAATTTTTGTCAAAAGAAATTGTAAAATTTCTTTGCTAATTTTAGCTAATTTTTTTTTCAAATATCACTCCATTTTTTTCGTCTTTCTTGCAGAAAAAATAGCAGCAGAAGAAAGTGGAAAGAAGAAGACAAGCAATACTGTTACTTCTACAACTGCTGCTATGAGTAGTGCTAGTAGTAGCAGTACTTTAAGTCAAACTTGCAGCAGTGATGATGATTATGATTATTACAATGCTCGAAGGGCAAAGGAACTTTTGTTGGAAAATTACCGGAAAACTCTTCAGGGTAACTTCATTTTTCTCTGAATTTTATGTTTCAATTGTTTTGATATCAACAGCATTAAATCCATTATTATCTCGGCATTAAATCTAAAACGATGTAAGTATTGAGAATATGAGATGAAAGTTTTATCTCTTTTTTTGCTTCTGAATAATAATGATTAAGTTCGTTCTCAGTTTATTTTATATAATTAAGTTTGTTCTCAATTCATTTTATATCTCAATTATAGCACCTGATTCGATAATGGAACCAAATATCGAGGCAACTATCAAAGGATTTTTAAGAGTTGGTGGTAAACCGGAAATGATTATCACTTCTCTCTCCAATAGTTACTGTGGCGTCGCTCAGGTGTTCTATATTATATATTTCTCACATTAATATTACATATTTGTCACATTAAGTAAATATTGGAAAACAACAAAATAAAATGCTATTTGGTTTTCCTTTTATGGTAGCGTTGATATTCAGTAGTCAGATGAACAGTACATCGCTTATTTTAACGAGCTATGGAAAAAATTGTTATTATGTGTCACAATTGAGTTAAAAAATTATAGTACTGTGAATTGCTTGGTGATTGGTTGTCTGATCTAGAAGGTGACCGGAAAATCGTTCATGAATGTTTCGAAAAAAGTTTGAGCTCATTGATGGAAAAACGTTTCGTGGCAAAAATTGTCGATAAAAATTTTGAAACCGCTGATGATGTGGATAAATGGTTGCCAGAATTACTGCAGCATAGGTTTGAGATCGAAACTTTAAAAATTCAAAATTCAAGTGCTTACCTAAAATTCTAAAACACTGCATATGCTTAGTACGATATGAGTAGCTTAAAAAAAGAATCAAAAGTTGACCGGAGCAGATATTTCCAACAAGAACAAGTCAATTATAATTTATATAAATGTATCAATTAGAATAAATTTAAACTCAACGAAGAAAGAGTCTTACAGGACATGGCGCAATTTAATTTATACACTCATTGAACAAAATTCTCAATCGAAATTTTTAATGAAAGCAATTCGAATAATATCAGAGGCTGGCTTTCAACACGAAATTACGAGTGTTCATCCAGCTGCTCAACAGGTATAAATGTTTTTATTTGCTAAACTGATACTCATCATACACTATATATTGTTGTTTCTATTTTTTTCTTTAAGAATCTAGGATCGATTCGATTCTGCTAAATGCATATGTAAATCATCAGCAGATTTGAACGTATGGACATTGAATGGCGAAAAAATGTTATAAATGATACGACTGATTTATCAATTGTTAAAAAAAATTTATAAATGTATTAAGTTGATTTTTGTAGCTTGAAATTTATTGTCGTATGGTACTAACTGCAATTGATGACTTTTTTGCAACGCAAAGGAAAGGACCAATGACAGAAGATTATGAAAACGCATTTGCGGAATTAACTCGAGTGGTTTGCTACAGTGAGCATACCTACTTGTTCGCGCAAGTTCTTTTGAATGAAGTTATCAAAGAGGTTAGTTCGAAATGAATTACAATGATTGGATGATAATGGACTATATTGCAGTGAGTAGGGTTCTCTAAATAAACGTAATGTTATATACATTGACGTAGGTAAGTATAATGTCTCTGTAATGCACGTGAATATTACGGCTACAAACAATTAAATTTGGCATTAAATCATTACGAAAATGATGAGTAATGTTCAGGTAAATAACAATACACGGAAATGCTTCCTTTTTTTATCCGAAAATTGGATATAATTGCTTGTATTTTGATAACTGCGGATTGTTTTCTTTCGATCTAATACTCACTTTCCCGTTAGATCGTTTATTTTTTAGGAAAAGGAAGAAACAGCAGCAGCTTGTGCATATTTAGCATATATATTACGTCGTGAAGCACATATACGTAACTATCAGGATACGCATGATATTCACTTCTCTATCGATGGAGGTTATAATGACATAAAGCAAACTGTATATACAATGCTCAGCAAAAAATGCTTAAATCAAGCCGACATTATTCGCCTCTATGAAGTAAGTTAATTCTGTTAATGAGTGCAACTTTTTTGAAAATTTAATTTAAATGTAACTTTATCGCGATTTACTTATTTCTCCTTCCTTCCTTTTGCATTTAGTTATTTCACAACTTCTACTACTATGAAGAAGAAAGAGATCATTCAGTTTTTTTTTTTTTAATTTGGATTTTCTTAATGTGTACTTGGACTGATAATATTATCAGCTATTTGTGTTTAGTTATCGCATAAAAATAGACTAACATCGTTTTGAGAAATGTATATTATTCTTTTATTTTCTTTCCTTATGCATATTATACTTGTCATTTTATA